TGACTTTACCGAAAGAACCAAGAATATGAATCCCTGCAGTCACGAAAGCTTTAAATCAAAATCTTAGCACCTGTTTTATTGCTATACATGGGCCCAACATCGTCGTCTCTACATGCGTGGAGAGCTGCGGAAAAAAACCCACGTCAACTTTCTTGGCAGGCAACAACAGGAGGAGTAAGCCCACCCTATCGTGCACTTTTGAATCTCGATTGAAAACTCTGTTTTTTAACTGGTTTGTTGTCCTTCCCCACACACCTCTGATTAGCACGGTTGGCTACGTACGGTGCAAAATAAGTTCAACATGCAAATATTGATTTATATTTGAAAATGTATCTTAAAAAATCAGTTTTTTTAATATGTATCCACATATTTGACAACATTTTGCCACCTTTGAGTTGCAAAATAATTTTGGCTACACTTGCCTAATTTCTGGCAATGGGGATATTTATCGAATTATACTTCTGAGTTGTATTGTAAAATCACAAGCCGTACATGTTTAGTAACCTCTAATTGAGAGTGATTCCTTCAACATTTGAATCTTATATATTTTTCATGCAACTATTTGTTAAAAGTATGTTTGACACCTAAATATGTGGGTATGTTAAAAAAAAAAATCAAATCCTATGTTTTTGCAGCTCATTGTGATAAACATTGCATGTAGCGGTGAACTTTTTCAGGCAATAAGTCTAACATATGGCATCCATTTGAAGCAGCTTCTGAAATAGCAAACAGTATTGAGACGGAGTGATTCGAATACATTTAAAATAATTCGAGCTTCTCGAATATTTATGGTTTACGAGCGACAACAAAGGCAAACGTGCACACACATGTAATTTTAGATTTGAAGCTTTCGTGACTGCAAGGATTCATACTCTTAGGTTTATTCGGTAAAGTCACGTAGGTAAAACAATTATAATAATAAATGAAAATAACTAAATTAAATTAAATCTAGTTATTAAATTAAATGTTGCTATTTTCATTTATTATTATTTTATTATTATTATTTTTTTCACCAACGTGACTTTACCGAAAAAACCTAAGAACACACACATGTAAAACAACATAATTCCACCATCTCTAACCACTTTGCCATGTGTGCTCACACAAAAAAAAACATAGATATACATCTAACGACATGGCTATGATTTGTCTCATAGCTTATCGTTAAGCAGTCAACTAACTGTTAAAGGGGGTACTCGGAATTAAATTGTAGACAACGAGCCGTTGATTTTCTTGGTTCTTTCGGTAAAGTCACGTAGAAGGGAAGTAATAAAATAATAAAGATAAAACATAATAAAATAATTCTCACGACGTTTCGGCCACAACGCAAGCAGCCATTGTGGCCGAAACGTCGTGAGAATTATTTAGTGACTTTACCGAAAGAACCAAGAAGATGAATCCCTGCAGCCACGAGAGCTTTAAATCGAAATTTAACGAGCCGTTGCTTAACCCTTAATTTATATAATTTACTTATGCATAATACAAGTGTTTGGGCTAGATGGCGAAAGTCTAAATGTGTTGTTAACCCTCTACCACCACCCGACACAGCCAGTAAGGTTTGTGACGTAAACAAAAAGTGCTAATTATGTACTACTTCAGCCCACCGGGGTGTGTTGGAGAGTAAATCCACAATATTTACAATTTGAGTAGTATGACGCGTCGCTTGGTAATTACATCCAGCATCATCGGGCGATTTTACCAGTAAAACGTCGTACTACTCAAATTGTAAATGTTGTGGAATAACTCTCTAACACACCGGTGGGCTGTAGTAGTAACCAATTGGCACGTTTTTTTGTTTACGTGACAAACCTTACTGGTTGGCTGTGTCGGGTGGTGGCGGGTTGACGACACACTTATTCTTCCGCGATCTCACCCAAGAACTTCGATCATGAATAATATTGGGAGCGAAAGCTTACGTGTCAAACTAATAATTTACTTACTTCGCTGGTGACAGCGCACTGCTTCTGTATTGGAATTAATAGACATATCTGCGAGCGTGTAATACAGGGTTCATCTTCTTGGTTCTTTCGGTAAAGTCACGTAGAAGGGAAGTAATAAAATAATAAAAATAAAACATAATGAAATAATATTTTTATTATTTTTATTACTTCCATTCTACGTGACTTTACCGAAAGAACCAAGAAGATGAATCCCTGCAGTCACAAAAGCTTTAAATCGAAATTTAATACAGGGTTGCCACGGGTGTTGTGCTATGACCTTGAGAACGTTTAAAATATCTTAACCACCCTCTCCCTCTGCTGGACCTTCAACTTACCACATTAAAACATCTATTTGATTGCTCTTCCTAACAGCAATTTGATTTAAGTGACAGTTACTTTACTCATTGATCTTAAGTACTAACTCCTACCTTAAACCCTCACTTAGCAGCGTCACAAATTCAAAATTAATGGTCATATCACTACCCTATTAACACCATGGACTTGTGTGAAACAGATTTTATAGCAACAAAACAGAACTTCAAGGGAACAAGTGGTGATGACTGCAATGGGTATTTTGAAAACGATGCTGCAATAAACAAAATCAGCCAGAGTGATTCTGAATTATCGCCTAATACTATTAATGTTCACCACGTGGTCGTATAATCCAGATTTCGGCTTATTATCAACATCAATATGAAGCACTTATCAAAAACGTAATTAAAACATTTTTAATTGGCGGTGGGGGAGGGGGATAAATGCAAGGATGGACATAATTTTTTTAACATGAATGTATCACCCCATGCTCTAAAGTTGGATAGAGAACATTGCAACAGCTGTAATAGAGCAATATTTATACAACACATTCCTTCTACTCTAGACACTGCCGCCTCCTCCTGTGAACGTGAGCCAATGCACATTTTATGAGTTTTATGAGTCAGAAGAACGCCGTTATCCTAGTCCAGATGTGTAAGATTATGATAGTGCTGTTATGTGTGTTAAGCACAACACCCGGTGACATGTGGCACGTGAACCCTGAGTGGGCCTCCCTTAGGTTAACTCAGCCTCAAAGCAGTGTTGGTCAACAAAGGCGGCCGTGAATTGTCCTAGATCCGCCATTCCCTCGTGTGTCGTGCCAGCCTTAATAGGTAATTACTAACAGCACTTGTACCTGGCAGTCTATAAAGCTAAATGAGGGATCTTTGTCTTTGCTTATAGATGTATAAATTGTTTTCTGTTTTTTCTTACACTCGAAATCAAAGCCAATTATTTGCTGAATGGCCGCTGTACTAAGTGGCATTACCCAATTTGCTGGGAAAAAGAACTGTAGAAAAGCATGCATTAAATGTAATTAACAAAGGAAACACACTGCAAAGAACGATAAATCAGAAGAATCTGTGAGCTTTCCACTTAGAATGCAAATTTAAATTGAGGCTTTTGTACACATTCAAAATGCCCAAATTGGTCAGAGTAGAGAATACGGCGTTCAGTGAAAACCGTCGTGTCCAAATTGTATAAAGCGCACGAAAAATCTTTGGTTGAATATTAAGTATTGTAATGCATACATCACCCTTCCTGCGAAACAAACCTCAAGTCTCCATTGGTTCTCATCTGGTACAATAAAGTATATCAATCCGTCAACCAGAATGTGAAAAAAAAATAAGATTGATACGTTACTTCGTACTTGTTAAGCAACTAACTTTACCGCCTTTAAAACGTTTTAATATTTTATGCTGCTATGCAGACATGGGAGGGGGGGAGCAGTGGCACAGTGGTTACTGCACTGGGCCAAGAACCCAAAAAAAAACAAATTCGATTCCAGGGCAATGTTAACACGAGTGGCGAGTGACATTGGAACCCATCCTGGGCACACCCTTCACCAAGCTGCACTAACCAGCATGGTGAAATATGGTCAAACAACCCCCAAGACCAACAAGGCATTAGTAGGCATAAGAGGTGGATTGACACAGGACTACTATATAGACATTAACTTAATCATGAGCATTAACCCAGAATATTTATAAATGAGCTTTTTTCTCTGCAGGTGCCAGTACACTATTTAAATTGAGAGAAATCCAAAGGTACGAGACATAACCTTTGAGAATGCTGAGACAGATGTTGAGCTACCAAAAATAACATTTTCAAAAAACATGCTAAACAATGTTCAATGTGACTCAGATGCGCCTCGTGAGTACCGTTTCACTCAAAAATTTGGAGTAGGCACCAAACTAAAGACCATTTATGTCATCGAGTTAGGCATGCAATGCATCATGGGGGAAAAAGGTTGCAATACGCACGTACCGTTGTTGTGTAAATGCGATGCACTAGGGCCTTGTGCACCGACACCAGTTGATCACGAATTTAAAAGTGAGGAAGACTCTTAAGAAATCCCTGTTTGTATAACAGATTTGTTGAATGTATTCGTTTAATGGTGATCATATCGTGTACATCCACATATGAATAAGTAATTTATACGGCAAATGATACTGAACGTTTATATTATGTAAATGAAACAAACTGATTATACATGTTTAAAGCGGTCATGTTCTTTTCGTGAAATAATGCTTAAGAGCAAATGCATCGATGTACTGTCAGTAATTTTGATACTTTTACACAAAGTTGTGATAGTTAGGTGAAGGCTAGTAGAGCCTTGCATAAAAAGAAAAGTGTGAATGTGCTTTTGGCACTCTTAACATGTCTTTTTCCTTCATAACATATCTACATACCGTATTTTAATTAAGCTTTACACATTTTACACCTGCCTACGCACAATCCCACATTTTCTCCCCAAATATATCAAAATATATGCTTCTCAATGCGGTGGCAAAACTTTCTAACTTGAAGCTACACTGAGTAAGCCGTCCAGATTTATTCACATTTCATTTCAATGTAATGTACCAGCTTATTTTCAATACAAAGTCTGCACTAATTAACTTAGTCGTTCTGTTAACAGCGTCTCTCCGCTTCAAAAGTCGCTTGCTAATTCCAATAAGTGCTTTCCGCAACTCGTAACATTACTGAGATGCATAAAAACAAACTGAAAATGCACCGTAGTATTTCGACTGAAACAATAAGCAAATTCACATGGCCCTGGCAATAAAGTTGCATTCATCAAGGGTAAATAGGTGGGAAGAGTTAAAAAAAATACTGAGCAACTTGTTTGAGACGCTCTTACTTTCAAACGTATCGACTTTAAAGTGTTTTCACTGTGCTTCCCCGAGCTGGTTGCCGGCAGCTTGTGGGAGGGATGGGTGGTCCTGCTCATTGGGGGCGTTGAGGATGCGCCGGTGAGCCTGCCGGAGGTACTGCTGCTGCTTGAAGTACACCTTGAAGGCGCCCTTGATGGCCACGAAGGCGATGCCGCCCTGCGCGCAGAACAAACGCGGTCGCGGAGGAGAAGCAGACGGCACGCATGCGCGCCGTGCCGCGGTGTCAGCGACGGAGAAATGTCAAATCTCGGCGCGCCACCGCTCGCGCCGAGCGGTGGAAATTGCATGCGCTCGGATATTGACGTTCATGTTGACCTTAGCAAAAATAATAATAAAATAGTGAAAGGCATTTTATACCAAAGGCTTCTCAACATTTGACTTGGTGAGCTTTTGGCTCGGCTGATCACATTGCTACTGGGGGTCACACACAACGGGTTACCAGCTCCAGGAAGTGTTTTTGGGTTGCGCCACGTGTTGTTCAGCGTGATGTCCGACGGTTTGCTCCACGTGCCGGGAGCTTCTTCAGGAACCGAATTGACTTCCACATCATGGCCGAACAAAACATGCGTTCCAAACCGGGCAAAAAACACTCAGAGAGCTATAGAGAAGAACTGCGACCATCCGCGCAGCATCTAAAATTGGTACCAATTGAAACATTTTAAAATTAGTACCCACATATGGAGGAGAGGCTGGTCCCTGCCATGAGAAAGTAGAGACACTTTGTGCCCACATGTCACACGTTGATAGGTGGCCATTCAAGCCTGGAAGAGCGATGAGCCTCGGTGGACACCATGGGAACATGCAGATGCCCGAAACGTGTAATTCGCACCTTTATTTAATTAATTTCACTTGGATCCCACTTGGTGCCGAATGAAAGAATGTGCGGAAAGATCGATGGTGTTCACGTAAAGCGTCACAGAACAGGGTGCCAGGGTGCTTCACTGCCACCAATTGCGGACAAAAACTAAACTAAACTTGATATTTTAGCAGGTAAGGCACACTGTGCTATGTTGCTCTCTTTCAGAAGCGACCTGGCCACAAATGATAGCTCAAGGAAGTAGCTTATCACGTGGAAATTTATAGCAGCCAAATACTCTAAACGCATGTTTCTAAATGTGGAGTGAAAAACCGGAGGACCCGGAGAAAAATCCACGTGACCAAGGGGAGAACATGCACACTCCAAACATACAGGCATCGTCAGGGTCGGGATCAAACCCACGACCTCCTGTATACTAGGCGAGGTAGTTAACGTCTCGCCACCGCGGCTCTTTCAGGGGAGTGTACAAAGATTCCTAAAATAAGAAAAATTCAATACATTTGTCAATACCACTGCTTTAAATAAACAGTTAATCAAATATTTTGTGTTGTGGGATTATGAAATGACTGTGTCATTGAAAATAATACAAGCCAATGGAAAATTCCAGCACAGAAATAAAAGGCAAAAGAAAAAATCAACTTTCAACAGACTAAGCAATTCTTTTGTTATCTGACATCATCTAATACATTACGCGCCTGTTTTCAAAGCAATTGGCAAGCAATTCTTCCATATAAACTAGCCTTGGCTCCTAAAAACAGCTTGAAGGTCACGTTCTAAATTCGACGAAACTTTCAAAGACCGCTGGAGGTGAAGACAAACTTCCAAACAAGAATCACTGCTTCATCAAAAAACACACGGTCGTCTCTTGGTCCAAGTTCAAATAAATACCAGAGCATACACACTAAGCTGCCACTTTTGTCAACGTGTCGCTCACGCTGACACAGGACAAAACTCGGAAGGCGGGCACAGTCAGACATATACGGGGGGAGTGCTTTTATCGAGCCCAATTGGTACTGACACCCCCACGTGACCACGGCATTCTGTATGAATGAACTGCTGCCCGCCCACCCAAGCAAGCCTCCGCCGGTTCGCTATTGTGCAGAGCAGGAAACCGTGCAACAATGAAACCTCTGTTCAGTGTGCGCAGTTGCAAAGTGTACATAATCCGGTTATTGATATCATTAGGATGCTCTGATTGCACGTGCACGCATCCTGTTGCCGAGCTTTTCGCTGTCCTAATTCAAACAGTAACTCCCTTAATTACTGACCTTTGGCCCATGACAAATTCATCTTTTACTGTAATCAATCACGGATATCTTAATGACCTGCAGCATTGTGCAAATTCAAAGCCCCCAATTAACTCTGCACGGCAGAGCACGGAATGCCACAGCAGGAGAGGAGCTTTCAAATTACCGTTCTGGATGAACTTGGGTTTTGCCAATAATAATCATCATTCTTGTGAAACTGCCATGATGGAAACCACTGGCTTAAACACAAACAAAAGGGGCCTCAAAGTATTGCAAATGATTGGATATGTCTTCTTTTGCTCTTTATCATCATTACTATACTGACTTCCTCACTGGTGGCACAGTTACTTTGAGAAGTAATCAGTCGGATTATTGGTAACTCAAGGTTTTATAAGCAACATAATGCCTTCGGGTAATTGGCGTTTTAAAAGTAATGTAACAAAGTCAATTACTGTTAAGATTACTTTCTTGAAAATAACAAATACTGTATTGAATATTAACAGCACTACACCACAATCGAAGACTTGAAAGCACACTCTCTCACTAGGTGCAATTCATCCTGGGATCCTGGCATTAACCTAAGCTGTACAAGATGCTCCTTTCCCATTTTTTATAGTTTTTTACAATCGTTTCTGGATAAAAAAAATCAAAATTAATATGAAAAGTAATTGACGACGCAAGTTCGTGCATCGTTTGATCAATTTTTGATGAGGCTCCAGCGGCCCCAAGTATGCAAAGTATGATTTGTGTTTTGATTTAGTGTGCTGATCTTAAAGGTGCATTGAAAAATGTTGATACTCCGACTGATGCTCCTGCTGTTGTGGAGTGACTCATGCAACCAGCTATGGCTGCAGAGTTTGGTAGTACATGTTGTTTACGTCGTTTATTGTGAAAATTTACAACTGTTTCATTGCTTTTTTGGCTTTATTTTGGTGATTTTTGAAAAGTTTTTTGGTTTCGCCATGTTTGTTTGTTGTAGTACCGAGTTAGACTGATGGCCTTAATCTAAGTTGTCTTGTGGTTGTTGTTGTTTGACTTGCATCCCACTGGGATATTTTCACAGGGTTGGTGTACGGTGATTTTTCTGCAATATTTTGCTGTCTTTTCTTGGATTTTCTGTTTGCACATAGTCACTTTTAAGATGTTTTCTTGTTCATGTTTGTTGTTTGTTACGATTGCACCCGATTCAAGAGCCGAATGGCTCACAGGGCTATACCTAATAAATGAACTTTGAACTTTGAAACTGTGGACGAGGCCTCGCTGGGCAGAGGCCAAACGGTGACATTGCCCTCTATGCCCAAGTGGCTCGCCATTCGCCCCCCAGCCTTGGCTCAGCGTCATCCCTTGTGTCATCCCTTTCTTGTGTAAATATTTTTTTTTACCATTTATTTACTCGTAAAGGTCTCATTGCCTCTCAATCCTCTGTTTTTTAAGAGGGTCTCTTGTTGTAGATGTTTGGCCAATGTTATTATTGAGCGGCTTGCGTCTGAAAAAAAAATCCAGAAATACTCAAAGCTCTGCAAAGACGAATTAAAAGAATACATTTCTCTCTGTTTTTAATCTCCTCACCACCCAGGGGCCCAAGCCTACCAACACCAGGTGTTGTTATTAAGCTTGGTATTCTGCACGTTGCTACAAGGTGGGCTAGAACATCACAGTAACAGCCAAACAGAGAACAATTGAGAATGTCCGCCACAGAGATGGAACACCTCAACTGGATCGTGTGCAGGCGCTAGGTGGATTGTAGCATCGTGGCACCATGGGAAATAGCGATGGGTTGTTGAGGCCTTTGTTCAGCAGTGGATTGATATGCCTAATGATGATTATTATTAGACACCTACTACAATATTATAAAATATCTAGATAGATGTGTTAAAGTGAAAAAAGTGTTCATAAAATGGCAATAAAACAAAGCTAAAATCTTCTCAAATTGATTGCATTTTTTTAACGCAAGGGGTTTTTATTATGTGTGCAGTTAATGGCGACCTGGCTGTCACCATAAGCCAACGAAAGAGTATTTGAGAACCTGTTTTTCATAATATGGATAAGCAGACAATGTCCCTTTTATAAATCCGTCTCTCCACGTAAAAAATATTTTTTTAATTCAACCCAACCCCACGGCCTTCACCTCTGCAGCGGACGTCTCCTCGGATGCATTCCAAACATCGGCTCCACAGCTGATGGTTGTGTAAAATAAATTTGCATTTTTTACGTGGAGAGTCAGCCATTGCCGCACCAATGTTTTGGAACAACCTTGTTGCCTCCCTTAACATCATAAATCTTCCTTCAAAAAATATTTTGAGGCAGACGATTAGCGCTAGATACAGCCACATTCGCAAATGTGATTGCTAAATTAAATCCTTCACAATGTATTGAGAGTTCAATTTTAATGTACAATCTTTTATTGAGGCACTGTGTCTCGTCCTGGTGTGGTCTGGGAGTGTTTTTGCTGTTGTTTTACTGCCTTTCCGAAGCTTGGGAATTGATGATGCAATTTGAACTTATATACTTTATTTACTTATTTAAAGGGCGCCACAGTGGCGAGATATTATCTTCATCTTCCTCGCCTGGTATGCAGGAGGTCGTGGGAGGGGGGGGGGGTCAACCCCGACCCTGACGCCTGTATATTTGCAGTTTGCATGTTTTCACTGTGGTTGCATGGATTTTCTTATCCGGGTCATCCGGGTTTTCCCTCCACATTTAGCAACATGCATTGAGATTTTTTAAATTTTTTTCGGTGCTATACATGTCCAAATGATGGGCCACTTTGTTAAACTATCATTTATGGCCAAGTCGCTTGTGATAAAAACGTTAATACCTCAGTGGGCTTTGCCTGGTAGGTTTAGTTTTATTTGTATGTGTTTGGGTGATTTGTTTACCTTTTTTGAACTTTGTACTAAATCCATGTTTTTGTACTGTTTGTTCATGTAACATTCTCCCCGCTCCTACTCGACATCTCTGAAAAAGTTTTATAGCTCATCGGATTCCTCCTGTATCAATAAATAGTTTGATATGATGTCTGCTACCTATTTTGTTATATTCTCCACAACGATGGTCATGTTATTTTGTGTTTTGCTTTTAACCATACATGG